TATTTCTGCTGGCTGTTGTAATTTGGCTTCATGTGTACTTGTACATGCCAGTTTTGCCTATTAGCATTTTGGCCAGCCTCTACTGCCTGCAAGCTAATGGGCACATCTCCACAGATGGGTTCAAGCAGGCCTCAAATTTTCCATGAAGGACATACTATTTAATAGTACCTTTTAAAGTTATGTGGTAACTCACACCTGGGTTGATGGAAGAAGAGAGAGTACTATCATTATTTAGGACAGAATCTACAAATTATCTTATGACTGACAGGTGCAAAAGAACACTGAAAAAGGCTGAAGCTCCTCTGCCAAACTGTGAGCTGACTGGCTGAAGGCCAGCTCAAAAGCTGTACAAAACCTGTATAGCTTCATTAGGGAAGTGTTGCACCCAGATGCACAAATCCTGCTGAGCACCAGGGCAGAGTGCCACACTAGTGTGGCTAGAGGGCTTCCAGGGCAGAGATGGCTGTGATACTCCCCTGGTCGATTCTGAGCATGGGGTTTGGTCAGCACACGTCCATCCATTAACCATTTCTACCTCAAAACACCCTGAAAAGACTGTTTTAACAGAAGAAACAGTAACACTTTCCCTTTCCCCACAAACTTTGGTTTAATTTCTGAGTGATGCTAAAATGAAGGCTGAGAGAAGTTAATCCTTGTGTGTATTCTCATTGTGAATTAGTTAGGAATTTGTTGTGATTCCTTTCATAGCAGGTACATAACAGCAGCTCTGCAGAACTTGTAGGATTTTGATGGCAAACTAAACCATTCTGTTTCTTATAAGATATATTTTCTGAAAGCTTCAAGTAAATAATATTGTTGAAACATGCTAAAACAACGGTGATTTGGAAAGTTGAAACGTTTCAGAATGAAGCTTGGAGAAAAAGCAGTGATATTTCCTTAATACTAGCTGTGCAAAGAGAAAAAAACTGCTGGTTTTAAGAGCTAGAAACACCTGGTATTAAATTGAATTTTCATCTCTTAGAGCTTGCTTTGTAACACATGTAAAAGCTTAGCAAGTTATAAAGAAATTTTTTCCATTATGCATCTTTTTCTGTAAAGAAAGAAATGCCACACACCAGCTATTATGTATTCATTGTAACCTGTATTTCCAGCATTTCTTAATGAATGTCTTTGTCTGAAATGAGAAAAATAGCAGCTGCTTCTGGAGTGAAGAGCTACGAGTCTGCTCCACCAAAAGAATCATAAAATGATAGAAATTTGTTCCAGAATTAATCTCAAGCAGTTGTTCAGTCTTGTTTCCTGCCTTAGAACAACAACTTTCAGTGATGGAGATTCTATCACTGCTTAAGTCACTCATGCTATCCTTGCCACTAGGAAGAGGTGATAGTTTGGGGTGGGTGATTATTTGCCATCATCTCCTCTCATACTCTTATTTTTTTGTACTTTAGTATACACGTACTCTTTTTTATCCTATCCAGAGGGTCGTGGAGAACAACATTCCCTTCTTTGGAACTGCCTTCAACATGAATTAAGGCAAATATTGTTGCTTTGTTCCTGGAGAAAACCTATCTGGTCTTTCAGTTTTTCCTTCTAAATCAAGTGTTTCAGTCTTCTGATTAATCTTGCTGCTCTCTCCTCTTGACTCTCTGAAATTAATTAATCTTTCTTGAAATATAGTGGCCAAGACTGGACATAAAATTCCATCTGAGTGAAGTAGAAGAGTGCTCTACCCTGTTGTATACATGGTAACTCTGTAAATCCTATAGTATGTGTTTATGGTTTTTATTTTCATAAGAGAGACCTTTGAAAGTTAATGTCAACTGCAAATTCAGTAAAAAATACCTTGATTCTGTTACCAAAGTTGTTCCATAAGACCTCTGTGGAATGTCCCTTCTTTCAGCCTTCCAATTTGAAAGTGATCCCTGGGTAACCAGAGCATAGTTTTCAAAGTAATTTTTACCTGTCATGTTTTCCTTGTTATGCCTTTTGGGAATTTTATGTGAGATGAAGTCAGACGTCTTTCACAAGTTGAGAAGCATGCTACTGAGTCTCACCTTGGGTACAGAAATATTACAGTATTGCAAGTTAAAGTGCACTTAAAAGTAAATCTCACTTCATGTGAATGAGGTGCTTTTAATTTGTGAATATTTGTAATAGCAGGGATTGTCAAGGTTCCACGTGTCCTGTACTCAGTCATGTTTTCATAAGAAGATTTACAAAAGGAGCTATACCAGTCCTTTGTTTCCCCATGTCAGCATTAATAGTGGGACAGAACCTGAGAAGATCTCATTATGTTAGAAGTTTTGGCTGATTTCTTCAAAGGCTCTATATTCTTTCTCAGCTCATCTGATTTTTTTACTTAGAGCCTTTCTGACTTGTCTAAATGGAAGATTTTTGTGATCAGCTGTGATGGATTTGAAATGTGAAGACATTGTTTCCTGTACAGCTTTGGGTGTGGATTTAGCCCATTGGAATGGAGACAGAAGAAGATTTCTCTATAGGACATTGCTGAATACTGAGGTGATGCTCAGCAACCTGTTTTGTCCTTTGCAAAGATGGAAAAGACTCCTGTGCAGCGTTTTATGGATGTTCAGAACAGCCTGTTTGACAGACTGTGGGACTTGAGACATCTTCCTGCTTAGTCAAGCTAGAATATCAAACTAGGGTATTTTCCAATATTTTGGAAAAGGCAAGAAATCTGTTAGCTGGTATGCCATATGCCTGCAGTTGGACATCAGAGTAGAAGCTAGGAATGTTGATCTACCAAGAGGTTAGTTATTCACATGGCACAAATGTGTATACGTATACAAGATAGCAGGTTTGCACTTGGCACCATTCTCCAGACTGGGAAAGGTACCCCTTCCTGCCAAGTTGTTATGAACAGAAAATGAGGCATGAGACACCACACATTTTTCTGAAGTGTGAACAGCTCTAAGCCTAATGAAGTGTAATGTGGGCTGAAAACCATGGAGAGTTCTGTAATGTGGTAATTTCAGAAATAAGGTGTGTGGCTCTGATTATTGACATGTATCAAATGTTAGCGTGTTGTTTATATAAGAAAATTTAAATCTGATAGTGGTGTTGCTACAGAGCTGTTTTCTGGTTTTAACTCATGCTTGCCTTGAATGAATCCAGTCTATTTATCTTAACCTTTAAACCATGTTGACACTTAAATGTAGAATTAAAACTTTCCATGTGCCTCTCCCTTTCTTTCAACCACTAAACAGTCTCATTTTCAGCTGGTTTTAAGTTGCTTTGCCTTTATCATGGCTGTGGAAGGTACTCAACAGACTCATCCAGAAATTTGAACTAAACTGTGATAAAATAAAAGCTATAACACCAGTCCCCTAGTAATTCTCTCTGTGTACATCAATGCAAGATAATACATTTTACATCATTAATACTTCCAGTGCTTCTAAATTTTCTGTTTGTTGCCTTGCTTGACATACAGTAGCTTGGAAGGCAGATGGATTGTGAGCTTCCAAAGTATTTCAAAGTACCTTTCCAAACTCCTGCAGAATTTTTGAGAAGGAATAGTTTTAATTTTCTCTGTATTGTTTTTCACTTGAAAAGCAGTTCAGCCTGCAATTTTATTGGTCAAGTGAGAGATCTTGATAGAATTTCTTGGTTAGCTGTCAAATAATTTGAACATAATGTCTCTACAACTGTAACAGCTTCAGAATAATTACTATTTTTTTAATTAACAGAAGACTTTGCATGTTCTTTCACTCATAGGTGGGAAAAATAGAAAGATGACTCAGATATGTAGATTTTACCAGGAGTCTATTCTATATCTAATGAATGCTGCTGAGAAGTCTGCTGTCTATGGAAAATGGAACATTAGTGAGATGATGGAGTGCTGGCACTTGTAACAATACCTGTTTTGGAAATTAGGCATGGGAAATTGTACTGAGGTAGGAGTCACAGGACTGTAGCTTAGATACTTAGTTGCTCTTAGCTGGTAGGTGCCTGTGGATTCCACCAATGGTATTTGACATTGGTCTCTTCACTGAAACCCTGGAAATTACATTAATTGTAAGGCAAATTAAAATTTCCACATTGATGTGCCAACTGAATGTTAAACCTATTCTGTTGTAAATTAAACATGTCATTTGACTGGTCCTGACATTACTGACACAGGGTCTTGGTGAAGTTACTCATTAGTGTGGGCAGAATAAGCAAAAGTAAAATCAAAGAGCATTAATGACTGTGATCACTATTAGTTGATACAATGAAACTCTTAGACCAGTGGAGAGCTGCCTGCTCTAAACAGCTGAAGGAGAAGCCCTATCAACAAAAAATCTTCAGAAATAGTAGTGTTGTTGAATGTCATTTTGTGGCTGAGCTTTTCAATGTTTTCCTACAGTAGTACAGGAACAGGATTGAAATCTGTTGGAAACTTTCTGTTAAGAGATATTTTTCTATTTTTTTGCATACCCACTTTCTCTTACATCCTTTGATCAGTTTTCTTCCTGTCTAATAAGCAATGTATTCTTGACAAATAGCTTTTTTTTTTAATTTTTCCTAGTAAGTTTTAGTGATTTTAATAGTTTTACTGTAAAAAC